GAGGACGAGGTTCGAGAAGTCGCTGACGGGGTGCCGAAGAAGATGAAGCTGCTTCCCCATCTTTTCTCTTTTCGGCCGGAACCAGGGGTGCAGCAGGGCGCGCGCTGGATGGTCGCCGCCCAGAAGCCGCAGAGGGAACCTCGGCACGATCAACATCTAGATCCCCAGCACGATAACCGAACACCGTGATGTGCCAGTCGGCCTCCTCCACAGACGCCTTGAGCTGATTCGGCGACATCATCCGCATGTCCTCGACAGCATGAACGTGCCACTTTCGAACACCGCCTCGAATCAGCATTCGAAGAGGTGCACAGGAGGAACTCAAGTAGGGATCCGGAACCTTGAGGTGCCAGGGTCGAAGAGAACACATGACCCCCAGGACCTGCAAGTGCTCATGAAAAACATCTTGGAAGACACGAAGAAGCACGGGGTCGGAGATCCAGTGGTCGTAGTCAATGCCCGTCGCCTCCTGAAACACACCAATGCAGGACTTGAGTAGGCTCGTCAAGGCAGACTTGAGATAAACGCGGTTCTCGGGTGACAGAGTGATCGTGTCATCCAAGACCAACTCCACACCGCTGTAGTCACCGCTGCGGGCCAGCATCTTGAAAGGCGCCGAAGGATCTTCCAGATCACCCGTGGAAGGACGAGCTTCTTGAGCTCTAGGCGCACGGCGCTCATTGCGCATGCTGGGCTGCCCGTAGCGACATTCACCAGGAACCAGAGTATGTTCACAACCGGGAGGTGCCGAGCGGCCAAGTTGACAACGTTCACACGAGTAGAAAAATCCACTGGCCCACCAAAGCTGACGTGGCCAGGGATGTATGGCTGCTCGATCAACCTTCTTGAGCATATACATCAAGTCCTGACAGAACTGCTGACATAGGCGACGAGGATACACCGCTGCCATGGTGGTGCGGTTCAGACCAGCCCACTTGCCCTGCAAGATTCCATGGCCTTGACCCTTGTGACCGCCGCAACGTTTGAGGATGCCATGCCAGCGCCGGTTGCTGTAGAAAACCGTGGACTTGCGCACTGGTTTACCATGTTCATCTTGTGCACCCAACATGCACTGATCCAGACGTTGCTTCTTGAGGCAGTACTGGTCAATCAGCCGACTCATCGGGCTGTCTGTGAACATAGCCGAAGAGAGAGGCTGTTCCACTGTAAACCCGTGGCCTTCGGTCTCCTGACACACACAAGACTCGTAGAGGAACTCCAAAGTAGGAAGCTCTGCGCTGCGGTCTGCCTGGCGTTTGCCTGGATCACGACCAGCTGTGGCAACGGACCACGGGCCGCAATTCGGTGCTGCCATAAGATGGTCCGGGGCAAAAGCTGTCTGGCATTCACGAAGAAGTGCTTGGTGAGGACCATAGCCAATATCCCAGCCATACCTGTGGTCAACTGGAAAGCCAACTGACAGGTTCGCCAGAAGTAAAACCAGGCTTAAACGTCCAGAGCCAGAAAACCACTCCCAAACTTGGAAGCGCAGCGGTCGCTTCCGCGATAGCGCATTCTGCATCCATAGTCGAACATTTCCCGGTGTAATGGGTCGTCGACCTGTGCGGGAATAAAATTCTTCCGGAAGTGCCCTATAGTAGTCCTTGGCTTTCTTGACACGAGCATCATCCCAATGATCTGGAAAAGTGTCTCCCGCATACGGAGGGAAGTTTTGCTCGTCCAAGATACTCTCAGCAGACTGACGAGTCATCGCATACGAGGTTGTCGTGGATGACGTAGTCCCCTGTGGTCTGCACACGTGGAACACCGTCCTCCCTGTCCAGAGTTGAACAAGGTCTCTGTTTGGCGTTGCCACGCATCGCCAGTCGTCCTCAAGGTAGCGAAGAGTGCACTTCCGCTGTGTCCAAGTCTTGATCTGAGTGCTCCTTGCGCCGGATAGTTGTTCATGTGGTACTGGGCAATCCAAGGTAGCATTGGGTGTGAAAAGTATGCGCCTTGGAGTCTTATGGTGCCGTGTGAGCTTGTTGTTGATCACGTCGTGCTCCCAGTCGTCTTCCTTGGCCTTCGGGTACGGACTGTCCAAGAAAGGCTTGCTCGCAAACGAGACTCTGTCCTGCGCAACGACATGGTCTGTGGACTGTGGACTCGGTGCCATGCTCAATGAACTGGACTGTGGACTCGGTGCCATGCTCTCAAAATTAAACGACCCGGATGTGGTAGAAGTCGTTCGTGAACTAGACGTCACATTGGTCTCTATGACCGAAACATCACTGTTTTCCGAAAACATGCCCTTGTCAAACTCATCGGAAGTTGTGCCACTATTGGCAGTGGACCCGGATGTGGTAGAAGTCGTTGGTGAACTCGAAGTCACATTGGTCTCTTCTTCTGCGCCATCACACTTGTACCGCTCACGCTCTCGGGTGGAGACTTGCGGCTGCTGCAAGAAACAGTGCCGGACTTCGGGACGAAGATCATCCCAGCGAGCCGCAATCTCCTTGGACCAGCATGCCAACTTCATCTTCACCGCGTTCGCGTCGTCCTTGGGCATGCTGTGGCGCTCATCGGTTGGAAGTAGGTAGTGACCGGAGTCGGTCAGCAGCATGCGCATCACATGTGAGTCACCTGCCTCGTTCTGCACGCAAAGCGCTCCATCTCCATTGTTGAACCAGTTCGTCAGGACGGCTGCTCTCTGTCGTCGTAGAGCAGGATTGGAGAGGAGTGCTGGGCAGAGTGACCCCTCGCCACCCAACACATCAGCCTTGAAGGTGGCCTCGGCGCCTGAGATATCCAACGGAATCTCGACCTCGCCGAGAGTAGTGTCTGCGCCGCCGCTGATGCCGCTCACGTTGGTGGTCTTGCTGCGGTTCCAACGGACCGACTCGGTCTTCTCCCGGGGACAGTGCTCCAGCAGATCGCGGAGTGTCTCTGACCCTATCAAGCCCGATGCCGCCCCAGGATCCACAAGAAGTCCTCGGCGCTTCGTTCCGAGGATGGTGTGGTAGGTCTCCGTGTTGTAAATTGAGCTGGTGAAGTTGAACGCCAGCTTCTTTTCGGGCAGTGTTGCCGTCGCCGAGTTTGCATCATCAGCCGTGGCCTTGTCATCTGCGGAACCTTTGCTTCTGTTCATCGGCAGTATCGTTTCGGCCTCATCGTGGTCGAGCTTGAAGTGGACCGTCTTGCCAGGAGGAGTCTCAAAAGGCCTGTCAGCGTCGAAGCTGCGGTGGAGCGTCTTGGCACCGGTGTAGCCGAAGTAGCCGCCACCAGGGCGAGAATACCCCTTGCCGCTCCGGAAGCCTTTTGGTGACCACTTCCCTTTTCCTTTTCCTTTCCGGAATTCTCGACCTTTGGCCTTGCTCTTGCCCTTGCCGTAGCCGCCACCGTAGCCACCATAGGGCTTGCCGTAGCCCTTGCCCTTCGACGGGTAGCCCTTATTGTCCTTGCCGCCACCGTCGGAGGCCACAGGGCATGATGAGGCCTGGTGCCACCGGGAGCCGCAGATGGTACAGCCACCAGATGACTTTCCTTTTCCTTTGTGCATAGGAAAGCTCTCTGCAGTGGGGTCCGTGGCGTGACCCGGGGAGTTGTCCTCGCCATGGTAGGAAGAGTGGTCATCGTCGGTTGTCGCCGCCTGTTCCATGGTGGGCTCATCGACCCAACCATCGTAGTAGTTCCAATCATCCTCGTAGTCAGCGGCATAGTTCTCATAGTCCATGACAAGCCAACCGTCTTCATACCATGACTCCCAGGGTACATCCCAGTCAGCTTCGTGGTCGTCGGCGTACCAGTCATAGCCATCCTCGTGCTCCTCATGCTCGTAGAAGCTGCCGTCACCACCGCCGATGTCGTCCTTGCGGCTGATAAGCCTCAAGGCCAAAGACCGGGCTTCTTGAAACCGCCGCAGATCCCCTTGCAACTGCAGCTTTATATCCTCGACGAACTTAGCGGGGAGCCCGGAGTTGCGGAAGAACAAGTAGAACTTCGCCACTTCGTTAATTTGAAGCCCTGCTCTGGTCGTGGCTTCTTCCAGCTTGCAGTCCCACTCGATGGCATACTCCTGGAAACTTGTTTTCCCCCTCCGGTACTCAAAGAAGTCCTCAATGGAGCGTGAGACCAGCTCCTGGTCTGACACTCCAAACGCGTCTTTCAGCGCATTACACAGCGCCTGTACACCCGACGGCACATACTGCTGGATGATCACCGTCGGGTCCGCTGGGTCCCTGACCTCTTCCACGGTCAGCCTAGCCAACGCTTCGCCGCCAACATCCATGGTTCCATCCGGACGAGGAAGCCGTAGTGTTAGGCCCAGCCGTTGGGCCTTGCCCTGGAGCCTCCCCGCAACGAGCGGCCCAACCATGGTGTCCTCGCCGTCGTATATCTGGTACCAAAGCTTCAACCGCTCGAAATATAAGCGAAGAGGGTAGTCGGGTAGTCCCGGGCACCATCCTGGAGGAACGTCTTTCCGAAACTCATGTAAAGGTATGCCTCCGCCTCCGGGACCTGGTCCGGACGAGGAAGCCATCTCTCCAGCGAACAGGTAGGGCTGAAGCGTGTAATCGGAGGTGTCCTGGCTCTGCTGCTCGTGGTAGAAGAAAACGTGGAGACCCGCAAGGAGGTCGAAGAAGGGAGAAAGAAGATCAGAGGTAGCTTCCAGGAAGCCACCGACCTTGTTGAAAAACCGCTGCACACCAACTATTGGCAGTTCACCCTGCCTGCTGTCACTCACGCGTTTCCCTGGCAGCTCACTGCTGTTGTTCTGGTAGTAGAAGAAGTCGGGAACCGGGTCCTCGTGGTAGTCCGCCGGCCGCGTGTTCGAATTTCCGTCTGAGCTTCCAGCCAAATATTCCGAATTCGCAGAAAAGAAGTGAAACTCTCCCTGGATGCCGTTCAGCTCCTTATGGTTGACGAGGTTGCTGGGCACAAGGATGCCCGTGTTCAGCAGAAGCAACCCGCTCACCAAAATGGTTATCAAAGGTGCCGCCGTGGGGTCCGAGGTCGAGCGCCGCAGAAAAGCAGCGCGAGGACTCGCGTCCTCCGGCAGCCTATGGCGCTTGGATTTACACTGAGCTCCGAGAGCTCCGCTACCAAACTTGCACAAATCTCTTTCTCTGGGCCCAAGCGCGCTTCGGTATCTGATCGTCTTCGATGCTCTAACGCATGCAGGCTGAAAGCTACTTGGGGTTTGGAGCAGTGGCAGAAACTTTACTCTTGCACAGACGAGCGAAGCTCAAAGGCTGAGATCCGGGCTCTGAGCCTGGCCCGGGGAATAGCAGGCCAATGGGCTCGACATCCTGCTCTGGGCCGCGACCGACTTTGAGGCTGTCACCCTTGTTCACAGTCCGCTTGAGGCCGATCTGCAGTTGGCAACGTTGCTGCAGTGCCGGAGCGTGCATTTGGTGGTTGCTGCTGTCTCTCGCGCGCGTGCTGCCAATGCATGGCCCAAGGCACCGCCACTGCCCACACGAAACAGAAGTGCTCTGGCAGCAGAGGCGATGATAGCAGAGTCCTTTGGAGCCACCGATGCGAAGGCAGCCGGCGCAGCTGCCCGCAAGAGCTGCAGCACTTCCTCCGGAGGACACTTTGAGGCTCGACAATTCTCTCAGCTGCATCGGACCGACCATCTCGAAGAGCATGATACTAATACTAAGCGTACTGATAGTACGACCGTGATCGATGCATCCATCTCTGCAGACAGCCGTGCAGCCAACACTCTCATAGAAACAGTGGACAGCAAGGGCGAACAGCCTGCTAGCAATGCACGCACGGCATTTTATCAGAAGTGCTGTGGCTTGCATGCTGGCCATCTTGGACAGCTTGCAAGCACCTTTGTGACTCTGGGACTTTGCCTGTCATGTAGGCAGGAACTTACGCTTGGTTGCGCAATGGCTGCTTCCTGGCATTCAAACATGCTATGTACATGGACAGCAGCAGGCACAAAGACTTTCGATCGATTCGATAGATGTGCCTTCGGCACAGAGCTATAAACTAAAGCCAGCAATTCGACTGGATAATTATTAAGCAGAAGCAGAAAAAAGCTGGAATACCATACTTGTTAACCGTCTCTCCATGTACAGCGAGACTGGCTCCCTCTGTCGGCCCGATGGCAGTGTCGACATCAGTCTGATGAATCAGGCGTCTCTGGCCGCTTGCGTGTGCGCGAAGACTTGCTTCCTGCCTTCAGCTGCCAGCAACTGGCCGTAGAACACTCCAACAGGCTGCACTTATGATTGATTTGCATGATCATGGGCTCCTCCTGTGCCGATTTCACTGGTGGGGCTTCTTCGCCCTTGCTTCCGGTGCCGCTCAGGGAGTTGGGATCGGTCTGGAATGTATGCGCAGCCATGGAGCCCCGAGAACCAAGTTTCTTGTCCCGTGGAGTTCCAGTGACCGCCAAGTTCAGCGTCGTCTCTTTCGTGTGGCTCTCGGCTTCCGATTGGTGCCGATTCTTTTCACTCTCGACTTCCGATTGTTGCCGAAGCACTTCCAAGTATTGCCGAAGCTTATCAGCCTCGCTCTCAAGAAAGACCTGTGGCACAGGAAAGGTTGATGTTGAAATGGTTTTTGACCTTTACAGTGCTTTAAAACTGCTTGCAGATTGCAGACCCATCAGATCCTGCTGCCGAGCAACGGCTTGAGCCGCGGCCCCCTCTGGAACAACTACCTTGGTCCCAGCATGTACCACTGCAAGAGAGCAATCGCACCGCGGCTGCGGACAAGAAGTAGGAGTCTAAGCCCGCGACGGCTCGGGCAGTTGGCACCGCCGCTTTCCGCGTCATCCGAAGCCCTTGGCCGGGCTGGCTGATGCTCGGGCGCTTCATGTCCATGGTATCGCCCTCTGGACAGACCCCCGTGCCGGCACCAACGAGGAGCTCCTGTGCGATGGCAGTGGTCACAATCTCAATCTTTGGCTGCACCCGCTTTGGCTCCGCATGGGCAACCTTGGACTTGGACCTGCTTTGTTGTCTCCGAAGGGAGGACGAAGGAGATGGCGTCCCGTGCTCGGAAGACCGTGCGGACCGTGCAGTAGTGGGCGCAGCGGAGGGCATCGGATCCCAAGCACTGAAGGATCCCGCGTTTTGGGCTCGTTGCCGACCTTTGGCAATCACTTGGCCCATGTAGCGGTTATGGCGGCGGACCCTCTCAGCAGCCGTTCGGACTTGATTTCCTGTGCCTTCAGAGAACCATCGGCATCTTCCCTTTTCAGCATGGACCTTGGGCGTAGGCACGCAGTAGTGTCGCTTCTGCGCAGCTGTCTGGGTCGCTCCCAGATGCTTCGCCTTGATGTCAAAGGTCCGACCCAGGGCCTCAACGTTGGTGCCCTCCAAGACCGGCACGTTGATGTCCAGCTCTTGCTGTACCTTCCGCAGCATGCTGTCAACCCCGAACTTCTCCTTCATTGCCTGATAGTCATGCATCATCAGCTCGAACATCCGCTCACACTTCGGGCCTTCCCTCTCGTCGACCATCAAGTTTTGCAAAGCCTCCTCGGAGAGATAGCGGAACATCTTCTGTGGCAGAGCCTCCTGCGCTCCTCCTCCCTTAGCTGCGTTGCCAGATCGGCTGATGCTCGGCACAAACATCAGATTCCGTGCGTCAGCGAGCCACAACTGGGACTTGCGGTCCTTATAGAAGATGAACTCCCCGGACACAAGCTCTAAGTTGCAGTAGTATGTGAGATGCTGGGCGAGCTGAGTGGGTACTGCAGACATCTTGTTCCGATCCCTCACAGACTCCAGAAATGTATAGCGCTCGAAGTGGTTGTTCATGATATCGCGCAACCTTTCGTGGACAGCTCCGGCTGCCTCTGTTTGGAGAGCATTGTAGTGATACGTAATGAAGCTGGGCCGAGGGGTAGCCGAGCCTGTCCAGAAGCTGGCCTGCAAAGCAGGGGCACGGACACCACCGCTTGAGGTCACACCTAGAATCTAGCCGTTTTCGTGCAGATTTCCCATAGCTTGAAGTTGAGGCTCGGGAATGAGCTGAAGCCCAGACCTGTCGGCTTTCTGACTGCTACGTCTGACATCTAAAGCTGTGCAACTACGCTCCGGCCTGCAGCAAGCTGATTCCGGCGGGCCACTCGCGACTGCCGTCGAAGCAATCCTTGACCTCACTGCTCTGCAAGCGGTGCTCGCGACCGCTTTTGCTGCCGTCGGTGCCAGACCAGAACCGCCAGGACGGCGCCATGGGTTTTTTCAGAGTTGTGTTCGTAGCCCTCTTCTCTTTGTGGGCTTTGGCATCCTCTCCACTGTGTCGCCTTGAGCTTGGCACCTCCAGGCCCACGCTCAGGCCTAGGCCGCCTAAGCCCTGGCGCTCCGTGCAGTCGAGCTTATCCTTCTCCAGTGCCGACTCCAGCTCCCGGTAGCAGTTCCAATCCATCTGCTGCCGAGATTTCATGAGCTCCTCAATGGTGCTGTGAACCAAGTAGGGCTCCTTCCTCATCGGCCTTCGCACTGCCCTGATGAAACCGGCACAGTCAGTGAAGAACAAGATCTGGGGAGTCTTCTCCAAGAAGATCATCTCGGGGATCAAGAGCTGCAGAGGTGGCGGGGCGGCATCGGCCTTCCACTCGGCGACCATGGGCACCGCCGGTGCCTCGTTGCCAAAGTCCGCCACCCGAAGTAGCAGCCACTCGAAGCCATAAGGCCCCAGGCTCCACTCCCGGACGGCTGCAAGTGCTCCACCGGCCGCGTTGCCTTTGACATCGCCCCGCGGCATGGATGGACCCACGGGTGGACCACATGTACTATTTGAAAAGGATTCTGTCTGCAAGGAGACTTCCCGCATCCAGGCCCTCTGAAGACTTGAGAATACACCTGGAGTGCTCAAGATGCTTCAGCATGCAATGCTTGACGACACGAGACCGAAAGAATCCGGAAAACCACCTAACCAGCAGCATGTGTCTGCACCCAGTTTTCGTCTCATAGAGCCAAGAAGGCAGCGCGAGGCCCCTTCAGCCTTGGCCTGTCCCTCAACTTGTCTACAACCGGCTTGCTGGCCTTAACTAGCTCCTCTTGTCAAACTGCCAACACCTTTTAAGCTGATACATCATTGACATGTCAATGTGATGTTAGGTAGGACATAGCCGACATAACCACAGCTGGAAGGGCCCATGAGAACCGCGGGCCTCGGAAGCTCCGGCATTCTGCGCCAAGCGCGAGGGAAGGCGTCCAAAGCCGTCTCTGCGCTCTGCGGCGCTACCGTTGGCCTGGCTCGGACTGCAAGCATGCAGTCGAGATCATGCCGCCGTCTCTAAACTCTAAACTCTACCAACCTTTTTCCCGGAATGACATGACCAAACACATGGACAACACTTTCGCATTATCCTGCTAACTTGATGCACCGACAGTCCACGTCCTGTGATAAATTTCGGCCCCAAGCAGCGATCTTGCAACTCAGGAATGGGTGCTCAGGGGTGCTCGAGAAGCACACTCCAAAAGCACGTGCACAGTGAAGAATGCTTCGGGCCTTTAGAAGCAGCTGCAGCACCTCTTTGGGAGCATTGTGCTCTGCGGCCTTGACAGGACGGCATGGGCGGCGGCTGTTCTGACTGTGTAGATAAGACTGAGCAGAGTGTGCAGAGTCATTGTTTTACTAGTTGGCGGATTGGATCGCTAGCCAGATTCGAGCGGCAAACTAACTTTTTTGAAAGCACACGATGTATCTTGAAAGTTTCCTTACCTATCCGCAGACCGGCAAACACGTCGACGTAGTTACAATTGCACACACATGTAATCATGTCATTCAGATCCTCAGCGCGGGTAAGGGGGAGGGGAGTTTAATTCAGGAATAGGTTTCATTCGACGTGTCATTCGACCATTATCAGGTCCTTATATGTTAGAGGTATCACGGCCCCCCTACCCCCCCTCGCAATACCCGATAAGGGTCCTTATGACGAAACACACATGCACTGATCTCCAGGAGTTCTCCAGGTCTGCGGCCCAGTGCAATGGAAGCGAGCCCTCGCGGTCAAGTTCGTGTGCTGCTTCTGGACAAGTCGCCTCAGCATTTCTCTGTGAATGCGCCGGTTTCTAGATAGTACCAGTGCAACACCCTTCACGGTCTTTTTCCTGCGGCAGTGGCCACATGCTGTTGGGACTGCGGTTCGCGTGATTACATCGCATTCGTGACTGACTGCACCTGTGGACGAACTGACGCAAGACCTGGTTGTGTGGCGCTATGCTGGCAGGTTTGTGCAACGACCTACTGCGGGGATTGCCCGCTGTTAAGTCTGCCCGGCCCGCAGCCAAATCTGCCGGTTGTGGGCCCTCTTCCCGTCCATGAAGCATCTTCCACATGTCAGGTGCACTGAGCTTTGTCAATTTGTGTTAGAATTCACTTCGTCCATGTAAGACTGGCCGGAGGAGCCTCTTCCAAAAGACTGCTCTTTTCGCAGTACTCACTAGCCTCTGATCCGATTTGTCTTGCCTCTTCTCCGTTCTAGCTCTCTACCGACAAAAGGTCAAGGGCCCTCGCCAAAAGCAGTCGGACAGACTCCAGGCTCAGCTTGTCGACGTAGTGAAGTGGCGTCCAGCCCTCCGTGCAGACTACTGTTCCTTACATGGTTAACCTCTGACCTACATCTCAAACTCAATCCAAGTCTGAAAATCCTGCAAACCTTCAGATCGCTTAAAGTAAATGGGATGGGCGGCAGCCTCGGTGGGATGCTTCTCCTTTGCAGCTTCGGGATGAGCATCCAGCAGAGCTTTGAGAACCTCCAGGTCTCGAGACACCAAGCTCCTCTCTACAAGAAGCGAATCGTCACTGCCTCCGCCTCAGCACCGTAGCTCAAAGCCCAAAAAAGTGGCCTCGAGACATGCGTGATCTTTGCAATTCTTTGCATGTGCATTGCGCAGTCTCCACAGGCACTCGGAGCCGGGCTTCAGGTTGTAGAAGATGTCGCATGCTCCCGCCTTGGACACCGGCGCCCGTCTTCAGTGCGAAGCTTCCTGTAGCAGCTGGGGGCGGCACAGTCTCCCGCGTGATCAGAGGCTTCACTGCCTAAGCACAGGGACTCACAGGAGATGCAAAGAGACTCAACATTATGTGAGGCAGATCTTCGCAGGAGGGGCCCGCGCCCTGGCATCAGCTCTCTGTTGCAGCGCCTGATGACAAAGAACCGCACTGAAACCCTGCGAGGCTGATGACTATAAAGAAGACAGAACCTGGCGTCCAGCCCTCTGAGCTCAGTACACCGAACAGAGCCTTTGAGCCACTACTCCTGGCAGCACTAGAAAATGGGGAGGGCTGGGGCCTGGGTGACAGCTGTGCTCATTCGGGTCAAGCATGCCGCTGCCACATGGGCACAGCCATGGCCAATACGAAGGCCAGGGGCCCAGGGGCACTTAAGTAAATGATGTTGACGAGTTCTTTGATGTGGACTGTTGCCGTTGATGACGACGTCCGTTTCCTCAAGAATCGTGGTTTCTAAGCCACACGGTGCAGTGTGGCCATGATGTTTTTTGCGAGTTGGGCTGACTTGACAGGACAAGAAAGGGCAGCGGATGCCATGTTTGCACCTGGAGCCAGCCACTTGCAAGCCCGAGAGCTCTTGAGATTACCGCCGCAGGAAGGTCAGACCCGAAAGATTCAAGAGGACTGCACTGGGCTTCCTTTTGAATCCGTTGCGGACAGATCTTCGCTTTGGATACACTGCATCAAGGTCACATAGAAGGAGCATGTTGGCTGATGGAGAGCTGCTCAAACAAAAGCCTGCTGCTTGGCAGGCGTCTGAGATGCTCTGACACATATCTGCAGACATGCAGACTGGGACACCGTATGAGGTCTCGGCAGCATGAAATTTAAAGCTCGCCCTCGCCTACTGCACGCCCTAGTCATGCGTGGAATCTTGCGTCTCGTGTCACATGGTCTATCCTGAGCTCCTCAAATGCCCACCTCGCCATCCAACACTTTCACAGCCTGCAGAAGGCTCATGAAGCAAACGACCTCAAAAAGAAAGCTGAAACAGTAGCTGCATCGAAGGGGCATTCTTCAGCTGCTCGATCTCCTCTTTCCGTCGGGCGATGGTGTCCTCCAGTCCATGAGTCTGGGAGAGTCTGAGCCTCCTTGGAACCACACCATTTTCCATCGCGCACTCATTATCATAGACATCGTGTCGCTTACCGACCGCAGGGCACCGTCGCAATCAAAGTCATGGCGGACTATCACCAGCCAATGCTTGCCATGTCGCCACGGCGATTACATTCCCTACGCTTCGACCCATCGCCTCCATTGACGAGGCCTTGGGGCCACAGGATGTGGAGAGCGCATCGTCAGCCTGCAACCATGGCACTGAAAGCATTCGCTTGCGGCTCACAGAAACGATCCCAAACTTCTCCGCTATTTCTCCCAGCTCAGAAAAATGCCAAGCCATACTCTCTGGGCCGAGTCTCGATTAGGGTCAAGGGATCCGGCCTTGCCCGCAAGTCTCATGTTCTCCTTGGCTGTCACCACATCCTCGGCAGTAGCGAAGCACGAGAAGTTCGCACAGTGCGCAGACTTCCCAAGGCAAGCACCGAAGAAAGCTCTGCCAGCTCGTCTTTCCGCCTGTCGACATTGGAAGGCCAGCTAGATGATAGGGCTCATGATTGCAACTTATTATCGCCCAAGACAACTCAGCAGCTTGGAACCCCCAATTGCACCTTTAGGACTCGATGTCTATGACTCTGAGCGATGACACAGCACCACACGAGATGTGTCCTGTTCAAGTCCGCGTTCGCTTGGAACAGGCTCTCTTGCTGGAGCTTCAGAGTCTTCTCGGCATCTGCCTTCGCTGTGGGCTTGAGTCGTAGGGCTGTAAGGTGAAACGCAAGCTTCAGACTGCTCCTAAGCCGAGATCAGGCAGAAACAAATTGAACTATCCTTGCAAGTGCCCACGGCCCAGGACCCCGAGCACGGCTTCCCTGGGCTGGGGCCATGGATGCAATCTGCCGGCCTTCTGTTCCTCAGAGAGCTTGGTAAAGTCCACGATGTACGTAGCAAGGAACTGTGCAGTGCGACTTGCAGCTTCTTCGCAGCTTGCTCTCAGTGGCCCTGCCCTACACCCTTCTGAGCCTGTCTCGCTCACAAGAGGAACATCTGATTTTCTCATACGTATAAGCCCAAACAATCGAAAGACCACAGACATCATCTTCAGCACGATCCGCTGAATGTGAAAGCCAAACCTCGATCGGGAAGGCTGCACGCCCCACCCCGCCTTGTCAAGCTTCTCCAGCCCGAGATTGGCCAGGTTGAGCGCAGAGTCAGCTTCGGCACAGTTGCCAGACTGGCCGCAGGTGTGAGCTTATTTCTACACGCCTGGGCTCCTCTATGAAAGCATTGCCAGGACGGCGCTCTTGTCCTCAGAGAGCTTGCAATGCTGCTTGAGGACCTGAGGGACGGAACGAAAATCCAAGGAATGAGTGGCCCTTGTTCGACAGTCGCGACACGGACCAGGATTCAAGACCCCCACATCGCGGCTCTTGGTAATGACGTCTCTGCTGGAGGCGTGATTCTGAGCCTAGCTCAACCAAACCGAGTGTGTGGCTCAAAAACAAGCTGCGATCTGCTGCGGACTGGCCTCTTCCTTGATTCGAGCAACTTCGGCATCGAGGTCTGTCTTGCCCGAGGTCACGGCCCTGCGTCCCAGAAAGTCGTTCACTTGAACTTGGGTTGACTTTATTTTATATAATGCACAACTACTGTAACTACTGTCACAGACCACCAAACTTACACGAGAAGAATCTGGCTGCTTCAGCATGTACAAGTAAGTGCCACGCTGTTTGAGGCGGCTCACGTCCGCCTCGAGGAAGTGAGACTGCGCCTTGCACAGGAAACTCATGGAGTCAAGATACAAGAGCATCAAGGAAATCCCTGCAACACTCCTTAGCCCACTTCGGCCCGTCCTGCAAGTCCAGCACTGCACTCTCCGCCCAGCGCTTCGCTTGCTCGGCGTCCTGTCCACTTCAAGTCACTCTGATAAACGAAAACAAGCAGGCGTGTCTAAGCATATTTGCCATGCCTCTGTGGCTGCAGAGAGCTTCTTGAAGCCTTCTCGGGCTTTCTGTTGCTGCTCCTCCTCAGTATTCGAACAGCTTTACATTTCGGGGCAGCATGAGTTGACTCCATGGGGCTTGCAATTGCATTTTCTCTTTCCGCCAGTCAGCATCCTTGCAAAAAGTCTCAAGCTGCAAGACTCTGACCTGCGAGAGAAGGCTTGCAGGAAAGCAGAGATGTCGCGAGAAAGCTAACACTGTGTAAACAATCACAGGACCTAAATCTGGCGCGGCCAGGTGCCAGCATGGCTGGACTACAGTATATGACTAAAACCAAAGCAGCCCACCCCACATTGCTTCTGCTGCCCTGCCTCTTTGCCAATGTACATGTGCCTGTAGATGGCACTACCGCACACGGCCCCCTCCGCCCCCCCCCCAAAAAAAAATCCCCCAAAGGGCGCTGAGTCCCTTTTATATCTCTGAGATGGTCTTTCCTTTCCCGTAAGAAACGGCTTGGGTAGCCCGGGGCTTAGGAGCCGAAGGCCGGTTCTGTGAGATTTACTGGCAGGCTCTGTGTTTTTTGGGAATTCGCTGCCTTGTGCTTAAAGAAAGTTCTGGGCGTGTGTTTTCTCTCTGCAAAAAGACTAGAGGCTGCTCAATTCCTTGACACAGGCCGACAGGCGATTCAGTGGAAGTCCAGCGCCGGACTTCCTCTGAAGAGATAAAACTTACTCGCACCGCGCAAGCCAAGAACTGCTGCAAGGGATCATCCGCAGTCCTCTTGCCAAGCACTTCATGGTGCAGCGGCCAGCTCAGAGTTCAATGCCGTGCCGAAGTAGATGTACTTGAGAGAGACATGGCTGCCCTTTGCTCTTCTTCTTCTGCTCCACTCTTGCCGATCCCACGTTTCCATCTATTGCACGGCCTGGAAATTACGAACTAATCACCACGGCCTGGACCAGATGGGTATTCCAGCGCGGCGCAAGAAACAATAAACGCACGTATATGTATCACACTATCCAAGCCGACACTGTCGAGTCCGGTTTCAGGCCGGGCGAGCACAATAGAATTCACTGTCCGAAATCACTTCAGTAGAGACTTATTTATTCAGATCTGCACTCATTCGCCGGAGCGAGGATAGCGGCCCCGGCATCGACGGGCGCTACCAAGTGAAGGATGCAGCAACTTTTGCGCTCCATCGCTTCATGGGGACCACGTTCATCAATCCTGTGGGCAGTGCAGGGCTCAGCTCAGACTCCTCTGAGCGAGCTACTGTAATGGGGAGGCTGAGACGGTTCACCCTGGCCTGTGATCATTGGAGCTGGGTCGGTTGCTGCGAGGCCTCAGGCAAGACGTCGGGGGCTGCATGCAGGTCACTTTCTGAGAGCGGGTTATGGTTAAGCTGAAGGTCCATCGGCGACTTGACAAGTTTTCGCTGAGGCCCGTTCCAAGATCAGTCGCCAGGCTGCTCATGACTGCTCCAGGTGTCGCAAGGAAATTAACCATCTCTTGCACGCGGAGCAGATTCAGCGGCGTCTGGGCCATCCAGCCGAACATGCGGAAGAGCCTTAGAAAGAAGCGGTGATTCGCGCTCACAAGTGCTCCTTCGGGCTCTGCAGATATTTCTGCCGCCCTACCTCGTGTTGTCTGTGACTCCCTTCTCTTGGCGGTACTGGTGTGGGGCTCACGGTCTAGGAGTCTAGAGTGTAGCCTTTTTTTGTTGGACTCCTTTCTGCTTACAAGGTTTAGGGTTTCATGTTTTCGGACGTTTTAGTACATTACAATGACAGGCAGGTTCAAAGGACGGGAGTGCCACTGCTTCGCGATCTGTAAAGAAGTCTAGCTTGTAGAAATATGTAGAATCAAGGCGCTTGTCGGTGCCACACAGCATCTCAATGAGTATTGCTCCCAGAGAGAAGACCTGGAGATGCAGCCAAGTCGTCGTTGCATTTGGTGGATTTGTGGGCAGAGATGACCTACAAAGCTTCCCTTTAAAACCTCCCATATCCTGCAGCCACGCAGCATCTGCCTTTGCCAGGTCCCAGGGCCTCCCACAAGGCCATGCGGCTTCGGGTGCCGTAAAGGGCCAAGTGCCGCGGGGATTGCCTCGCAGGGGGAGACCGCAAGCCGCGGTCCGGCAGTGGCCCGGCAGTGGAGGGTTCAAATGTCTTCAAGTCATGCTGCTCTCACACACTGAGGCTGGAGCAAACTCCCTGATACACTCAGTGCAAAGGTGTCTACAGGCCCACATGCATGCAAACTGACTGCATGAAACATCACGACGCTTGAGACAGTAAGTCCAGGACCAGCCTACTGGCCAACCGAGCTTCAATGCCAAACCGAAATCTACGATCCTCAAGCGGCCGTCGCTGGCAAGTCGCATCAACGTGCAGCCACCGAAACATGCGTGTTCATGCCTAGGCACAATGCCTTGCAAAACATGGTTTCAATTGTCAGATCTTGGTCGCAGTACGTAGTGCTGGAGTCGAGGCTTCCTGCTAGACTGCCTTAGGCTGAGCCTAGGCACCTGTCAGCAGGACACAAAACATGCTGAGGAACAGCGATCTACGCCTGAATGCATTCCCCTTATGCCTTCACCACAAAACACTCACATCTACTGGCGCCAAAGTAAATCAGATTAAGCTGGAATGAACGAGCTTCTTTGGAGTTCCATCTTCCGATATCACAATGTTCTGCGGTTTGAGGTCCTGGGTATGCAACGGTCAAAAAACCTCCTGACCGACGAGGCTTCTTTGCATGCACACCGATACAAAGAAGCACACAAAAAAGCTAAGGGGTCACTTGCAGGTCTTTAGTGGTAAAAACAAAAAGCAACAGATAACAAGCAGTTCCTTCTGCCTTTCAATCCGTCTGTATCGAAGATTTCAAGCCTACAGCTTAGATGACGAGCTTTCGGAAGGAACTGCTTGAAATCTGCTTAAGCCTCAACCCTGATAAGGGACACAGTGAGCAAGGCCATGGCAATGACAATATGCCACTGCATCCGCTATCCTTCGGTGGCATCAGGTCTCTGCAAGCACCCTCCTAACTCCCCCATGGCATGGACAGTGAAAGCGTTCTGGCCTCATACTGCGACGAACGGGTGTACTAACAATAAAACGTCGAAGAAAAACTCCAAATGAGATCAAACTGCTGATGGAAGAGTTGCCGGGCGATGGGCAGGTCAAGTCCGGTTTGATTGTCCCTAGCGGCATGGTGCCACAGGACAACGACATTTAGAACAGCTTTTCCCATGATTCAAATTGCACTGCGGCCAGCTGAGTAAACAAAGCCAAGGCAGCAACTCTGCCGCTTGCCGCTGACACATTCCTCCCACTGGAAGGTATCCAACGCGCCTGTTCTGCAGGAGCTTGTGAAGCGACACGCTGCCAGCGAAGTCCATGAACACATAGAAGTTCTTGTATGCGTTGACTGCTCCTCGTAGCCTTCAGAGATGCTGTCGGGGCTAGCGGCCAGAGAAGGGAGGAGCCGTGAAATTTGCAGCTGAGGAGCTGGACAATGTTGGGATGACTCAACCAGTTAAGCGTGTTGCACTCGGCCATGACTCCAGCCAGCTCATCAGTGTTCTTGCCCTTCTTCCTCGCAACGAGCCACACCGATTGCTGAACTTGCTGAACTTTAATCTCTCCAAAGTGATACCACATCCGGCCTGATCACCTTCACGGCATTGAAGCCACCAACCACTGGGTCTGCAACCTTGTAGACTTTTCCATGGGTGCCTCGGAAGGACGCTTTCCCAAGTCTCCCGCTTCTGGCTCCGGACTACATGGGCTGCACTGGACGGGACGGCACTGCGCCTTCTCCCAGGATTTGAAGAAACTCGTGGTCACCGACCCGCGCCTTGTGCAGGGCAAAGGAGGGGGTCGACGCAGGTTCTGGCAACTTCGAGCTCCAATGGCCTGCCTAGTATTATCAGTAGGGCAAGGTACAGTTAGGTGCGCTAGAGTTTGAGAAGGCTGGCATGGAAGAAGCCTATACCGTGGATCTCAACTTACGTTGAAGAATCGTAACGAACCTTCCCAGGAATCTTATGATCACACATCTCGGACGGGGATGACACACCGGCTTGCATCGTCGTCCCAGCGACCCCATCGACTTCCGGTATCCACCACTGGGGCTGCAGAAATCCGGAGTCCAAGTAAGCGGGATCCGCCTGAAGAAACACCAAGGGCAAAGCTCCCTGTGGAGGCTTAGTACTTACGCACACGCAGACAGCTCCAGAATTTGTCACAGGGGAAAGTTCTCTGTGGCCCCACACCCCCTGTGCCCGGACTTGCCCTCGGTTCAGCCAAGGAGCCTCTGAGAGAGCCTGCTTCAAGCAAGCTGGCTCGGTACTCCTGAAGCAGCCACGCAATCAGAAACACAGCGCACCCAACACTTTTTGCAGAAGTCTCTTGTTCATCTACAGGTGACGTGCAGGCTGTGATAGATTCGTGACGATAGCATCAAGCTGGCGGACTGTAAGGTGATACGTATCACGAGGCCTCGGTGACCGAGACCGGCTGCGTGCAGGATTCATAGGAACCTCAGAATGTCACGGGCAGCAAAGAGTGATGGCAAAAGCCGCAGTCTGATCCCATAACTCTGCATCAGCGATGACGGTGCTTGGTTGACCGTACAGCCTGATGGCCCGTGCTTTCAAGCTCCCTGTGCTTGGATCATCAAGTCATCCAGCTTACCATGTTTCTCTTGATCGCGAGAGTCTTCTCAGCGCACTCAAACCAAGGCAACGGCTGGCGGCAACTGGGTGAAACGCGTCCAGTGGACGACCTGGCGCCGATGGCCCGCCCCTCTTCGTAGGGACTTACATGGTCGAGCCCTTGATGAACAAACGGCGGCAGGAGAAAAGGATGTGCAGATCACAGCCATCTCTTGCAGATATCCTGCCAAGAAAGTTCAGGCGACATGCGATCCCTATCAGCTGCCGCAAACTAAAGCAGTAGAGTCTGGGCAGCCAGCACAGAACTTGCCCTTCTCTTTTTCCTGGTTCTGCTCCTGTGTTCCATCCTTAAACCCACTGCGAGGAAAAAAAAGCTTGCATCTCGGAAGGAAATTGAAAGGTCTCTGCCTGAAGATCTCAAAGTTCAAAGCCACAAAACCACCCCATCCACCTCACGAAGAGAGGCGATCAGGTTGGAGATCATCTCTTTGACGCTCCTGGGTGTGGCAAGACATGGCAGCACTTGGGCGTGATTTGGACAAGTACTCTCTCGCTCTGATGCCCCTCAACCTCACGAAGTGTCCGGTGCTCAAATGGTCAAGCAGCTAGACGGCAACTTGAAGCACAGTTGCTACTTGTATGGCTGTATGTCACCTTCAACCAACAAATCATCGTGCAACTTAGATACAGCTTGTACAGACACAGAATCACGGCTTCCCTCAAATGCATACGAAGCTCTTGAGAGAGTCTGCTGTCTCCCTGGAAGACTGGGCCTGGATGCCATGTGAGGTGCTCAGGAATGCTCAGGACATAGTTGCAGAGAAGGCATGTGCATCTTGTCCGAATTGTTCCGTGTGCAGGCTCCCCGTGTCGGGATAGGTGAAGCAGTGGCAATCCAGGCCTGGCCAACTTCCGTCCCTGCGCTCACCTTTCCAAGTGCTGTGCGCACTTGCTCCCAGTATCTTTGGATGCTGCCACTCTCATTTCACTCGGTCCGACCGCCGGCTTGGGCAGCAGGAGCTAGGAACACGAAAAGAATCGAAGGACCCATTGCACTCAGCCGAGAATTTGGCCAGAAGTCGAGCGCAGACACGAGAACGACATTATGCATTGTGCTTTGGTTGATGACAATTACAAGCGCGGCCTGCACGAGATTGCTCTCCGGGCTGGCCGGCACTGTGTCGTCGCTTCCCTGCCGGCTTTGAGGGGACATCCCTCGCTGGACAAGGCTCCACGACCTGCCTGCATCTGGAAGTCCTCCGAAAGACCACGGTGGCTGTCACTCAACGCTTCGATGTTGCGAAGAGCGTTGCGCACAGCCTGGAAGCACGACCCACGACCGACAATAAATGCAAACACTCAGACTTCGATGTGGCCCACCTCGGACAGGTCGTCGCTACCAGCATCTCCTCAAAACCGCTTCACAGTGGATGGAAAGCTAGTTTGATCTGGTCTTGGGGCGGGCACTGACGGAATCCAACTGCAGGAAGTTCACAGCTGCAGCACTTCGACCCTCCGCGCCCCTCGGCCCAAATGCACGTCAACTGTAAAGTCCAGTTGACGTATATCGCAAAGCTGCACTCCGTCTCAAGGCCAGAACGGTGTCAGTGTGAAGCCAGACGCCTTCGCCTGCGCACTTCAACAACGCAACACTAAATGGCACTATATGGCGGGATGTGTTGAACGATGCTATATTGGCGTCCTGAAAATCCGTGAGCATGCTCCAAACAGCGGGTTGTGATAATGGCGCTGCTAGAACACTGAATCCCGCCAGAAGACGGGGGGAAGCGTTTTGTCCTGGTGGTCCTGGTGATGTCCTGGTGGCTTCGGCCCTGTTTCCTGGCGGTCTCTCCTCCGTCGTGGTGCTCTTGCTTGCGGTGGTGGACTGCTATCTTCCTTCGGGGTGTGCAGGGTGCGTGGTGTTTCGTTGTTTGGGAATCGACACTGTCATAATTCATTTGATTAGGCCTTTTGTTCAGAGTCTTCGCGGGCAAAGAGACTCTGGTGCTTCTGGCCGTCACGACTGAGGCGACTGCCAGGCTCTTCAGAAATGAAGAGGCCATGAGCACCTGTGACCGGACCTAGGCCAACAGCGGTGTGCACTCAGGCCTCTGCTTCACTGACCTCAAACTCATGAGGCGACAAAGCTGCGGACCTCTGGACGCTTTTCGGATTCAAACTTCTTTGCCTGCGGCCACCGTAAGAATCGCAATTGCTGCTGGCTTTCGGGCGACATGTTCGTGCATGCTGTCTTAGTCTTGGAGAAGCCTTATAAGACATTTTTAGTGACGGTATGGGTTTCACACGGGGCGAAACGAGCTTACAAATCCATGTGAGTGAACAAACGTATTTTGCATGTATGAGAGTGTTTGTGTGTGCGCGTTTGTTAATTTAGTGTGTATGTATGTCCCCATTTGCTCAGCCATATACATATTTCGGGCCCTTCACGTCCGACATGATGGAGAAACAACACTTGATTACTGGGAGGGAGGGAGGGAGGGAGGGAGGGAGGGAGGGAGGGAGGGAGGGAGGGGGGGAGGGGGGGAGG